AGCACTTTAGGTGCTTGGAGAGGAGACAGGGGAACATGTGATCCTCCTTTAGTACAAGTTTGAACTCGCTCGAGTCATTTGGTTGTCCGAAGCAATTTTTTCTGTGAAATGTTCTAAAAATGAGTGACATCAATTTCGAGCAATGGTGTGCTATGAGACCTAATAATTTTACAAGTAAAGAACACTGAACATATATGCCAAAAAATCTTAAAATCAGATAAACATACATAGGTGTTTACCTCTTTTTGTCACTCAGTGTGTGTTTAGACATTTTCACCAAAAACGTTAATCAAGTTATTCAAAACAATAATTGTAAACGTTTCATCTTTAGCTTACGTAAATTTGATCATGTATCAGTTTTTGTTCACAAATTACTACTCACGTCTAAGCCCTCTTACTTGAGGGAAAACATTTCATCTAATAATGATGTTTACTGTAGAACTCTCAGAGAAAAGAATATTAGAATACCCAAACATACGGCAACGCTTTTTAAATGATTATTAATGGAAGTCAAAGAACTTTAGATAGTACCTTAAAAAGTTATTGTTTTTATCACAATGCTATTAAATTGTAAAACCTGGAGTATCAGCCAGTTTTAATGGCACAAAACGCTCAAAATAGATATCAAACTTGACCCATTCGCAGCAGTTTATTGTAAACTTGTACTGTTATTTAGAGAAGATTTGTAAAAATAAAATGAAAGCGGGTGATTAATTTAGCAGTAAATTTTGTTACAGTTGCAGGATTATTCTTTAATTTCTGGGCATACTGTATGTTGTGGCCATATCGTAGCGTAACAATTTGGTGATTCTCTCTTGACCATAGGGTGTCTATAAAGTGTTTAATAAAAATCCAGATTCTTACGTACATCATTGTTCGTTAAGTAAGGCAAACATCTTTCTTACCACTAGAAGATTTGAAAAATCAAATTAAAGTAATTATATCTATCTCCGTTTCATCCTCATCGAAAGAATTATTAGAACTTCAAAGCACAACTTCGTTATTAACAGCCGCCTCTAATGGTAATTGGTGCAATTATATTATGATTTGATCAGTTTTATGAAGTGGGCGCTATTTTACTTTATCATATCGATAAGCGATTTGTTATCGTTGATCTGGTCAACGCACATCATGCCCATTACTTGAAATGGACAATTTAAGGGCGCGGCAACGACATGTAAATATGATTCTTCATCTTTATTGTGGAACAATATTTTTATATAGAAGTAACAATATCGTGAGAAGATATCATGAATCTCCCTATTTTCGGACCGTTGAATTTACCTTAAAAATGCCATCGAGATGGCCGAAACGTCAGTAAAAAGTTAATCCTATATAGTTTCATTTAACGCTCAGAAAACATGGAGATTTATCAGCATGAAAAAACCACAGGATACGTTTCATCGGTTACACTAACCGAAATTCACTATCTTTGAGATTATATTCTAACTTGATCTTTTACGAACTGGATGAATCTGAATCTTTGTTGCTGACAATGCCCTGAAGTGGTCGTAACGGAAGTCTATATTAATTTTGCATCCTAATCAGCCTATTCCATGTTTTCCAAATTTTTGAATGAGGTGTTAAACAACATCTCAAAAACGTACTGCCCAAATGACTGATTTTCTCAATTGAACAAATGTGCGCGAGTTGTTCAAGGTTTTAATTTTAGGTAATAAATTATTCCAGCCATCTGTTATTGTTTGGGTCACGCTCACCCCAAAAAATGGGAACAGCGACTAAAATTAATACACCAGGAAGCTCCAATTATGTTTGTGGCAAAATTCTGAGATACAGGATTATGGAAATTTTTTCTTCTCCTTGAGATTTTTTTTATCTGAAATTTATCGCGGCAACCTTCGGTCAAATTTTGCAGGCATGTGTGATAAAAATAATTGTAGCAATAAATTCCATAAATCTTGTCATCTTGAGGAAGAAATACACGCACTTAGATTATGTCTTGCGATATCCCCTATCTTGGAAATGGAATAAACAGAATAAACAGTTGCGAAATTCATTTCAGATTCTGCGAATTTAGTTTTGACACCAGAATGACTGTGTCTCAAGTATCTTTGCCAATAACCAATATGCGCTGAACATCTCCTCAATTTGTCCAGTTACCAGAGACTATAATTTAATCACATTACCGACGTTGCAGCTTTTTTCATAGAACAAGCTAAAAAAAATGCAAAAACTCAAACGTCTAACCTGATGGTAACTTATTTATTTTAGCCGTTAACATAAATTGTTAATTACTAATGTTGATGTGCACTATTCATAGATTCGTATTGCGAGAAATAATTTTTGATATCTCAACAGCACCTTGTTGTTGGTCGTAACCACTTGCTTATCACGACTGTTGTCAGGATATCAGCATATACAGGGTGTTTCAGTTTATTGTTGCATAACTTTAAGATTCGATAGAACTTTTAAAATTAATGCATAAAGTCTGTCTAAACATGGATCGAAAAATGCGTGGCTTCCGAAATACAGGGTGTTTAAATTTACTTTCTAAAATAGTTTTTTTTAAATATTTCGAACAATATTTGATGTATAACAGTGAAAATTGGTATACAAGGGTTTTTTGGTACGACAAAACGAACCATGGGCATAGTTTTACTGTAGCCGCTAGAGGGCGCTCTCTACTGTACTTGCAGTGTATTAAAATGACCGAAAAATTTTGCTTAGTGCAATTTTTAAAAAAACTGATTCTTCGCACTTTTCAACATAAAAAAGCTCTCCTGTGAGTTTTTGTTATAGTTAGCCGTTTTTAAGATATTTCGATTTTTAAGGTTCGATGCATTTTTAATTATTTATGGGAAAATAATATTTTTTTTACATTTTCGATTTGGGCATTACAAGTAATTAAGATGATCGTTTAGATTGTGTTTTTAAACACAGCAATAATTCCTAACTCCAAATAAACACAAAAAAAACAGAATATTAATTTGTTTAATTTTCCAATATTATTTTTAACAAATTAAATTAATTACTTACAACTAAAATGCTATTGGATAGTTAGGACAAACATACAAAATCTAAAGTAGTTGCTCGAAATGTAGACCCAATTGTTCAATACACAATTCACATCTACGAATGATCGAACGTGGTATAGCATTATTCAAATAAGGCCTTATTTCATCACATGCATTCCTGATTCTGTCCTGACTGGTCCTGCACGGCCGATCCATCTTTCTGGATAATTTTCGTCCCGCCAGTTTCTAACTATTCTCGAATAATGAGCTGGACAACCATCAAGCTGGAACCAGGCCAATCTTCTTAAATCTAACATAACATCATCCCACATATTTGCATATTCAGCCTTTAAAAATTTCAAGAAGGTCGCAGCATTTAACCTTGCAGGCAAAAGGTAGGGTCCAAATAGTCGATTACGGTAGATACCAATCCACACATTCACACTAAATTCATGCTGAAAATTTCTTTCCCGAACTGCATGCGGATTTTCATGCGACCAAATATGTTGATTATGAAAATTTACCACTCCACGTCTAGTGAAGCATGACTCATTGGTCCATAAAACGTTACTTAAAAACTCCCTATTATTATCAGTTCTATCAAGAATCCACTGACAAAATGTGATTCTTCGTTCTCCGTCCCCTGGCTGTAGTCCTTGCACAGGTTGCAAATGGTAAGGACCTCTATGGTCATTTCTAAGAACACGGTGAACATGGCTTGCTGAAATTCCCAAGGCACCAGAAACTCTCCTAACACTTGTGGTCGGGTCTCTATCAGACTCACGCAGAATCATACGGGTAAATCTGCGCTGACGAACATTTATGTTTTGATCCCTTTGGAGATTTCCAAAACCATTTTCAATTATTTGGCGATGCACTCTTACAAATACTGAGCGAGTTGGATGTCGTCTGTTTGGAAATCTTCGTGCGTATTCTCTGGCTGCTTCTGCTGCGTTTCCATTTACAAAGCCATACACAAAATGAATATCAGCTAACTCTTGATTGGAGAATAAAAATGGCATTTTTATAAAACTTACAAAAAAAACAAGTAAAAGAAACTAAATTTCGTGCAATCACAATTGCAAAAAAACGTTTCAGGTTTCAACAGACAACAAAACTAACTGTCAACTAATTGACGTTTAACCTTACTCTGCTTTCAATTTCAAAAATTTTTTTCAGGCACAGCCTACCTCTAAAAATTATCGAGATACTGACTTTTTAACGTTATTTTATCATAAATAATTAAAAATGCATCGAACCTTAAAAATCTAAATATCTCAAAAACGGCTAACCATAACGAAAATTCACAAGAGAGCTTTTTTATGTTGAAAAGTGCGAAGAATCAGTTTTTTTATTCAAAAATCAAAAAATTGCACTAAGAAAATTGTTTCGGTCATTTTAATACACGACAAGTACAGTAGAGAGCGCCCTCTAGCGGCTACAGTAAAACTATCCCCGTGGTTCGTTTTGTCGTACCAAAAAACTCTTGTATACCAATTTTCACTGTTACACATCAAATATTGTTCGAAATAATTAAAAAACTATTTTAGAAAGTAAATTTAAACACCCTGTACCTATTTCGGAAGCCACGCATTTTTCGACCCATGTTTATATAGACTTTATGCATTAATTTTAAAAGTTCTATCGAATCTTAAAGTTATGCAACAATAAACTGAAACACCCTGTATAAAAAAGTGAAGTCGTAGCATTTTGATCCTTGTTTAAAATCTAAGCTGAAGTATTCATCTTTGACCCACCATCACCCTTACAAACATATGTCTTCTGAGAGCCCTTCATGTTCTGATGTTTAAAAGGAATGTAGTGTCTAAGCTTTCAGTGACGTTGAGTAGATATTTTTTGTAAGGGTACCTAGTTTTCAAGTGACTTATTTTCGGTCACCACCACTTATAATGTTACCACAGCTGATTAATCTAATTAATTTATTGCGTTTTTTCTAGGCATAAATTCCATACGAAAAAATTAGTTTTTTTTATCTCCCAGGCTTTTTCCCTCGAGTCGTTTCACTTTAATGGAGAGCTCAATATGCACAAATGCCCGTACTTTTCCTCACTGTCGCTGAGCTTTAGAGCCTTCAGGAAAAATAAATAAACCCAATTTATTTCCAGCCCTTCGGAAGTATATTGCTCATTTGTCAATTCTAAGTAATCGCTTGGGTAATCCCTACCTTCTTCTGTTATCTGCCTGGAGGATACATGGAGAAAAAAGTATATTAGTACGTAAATTATCAAAACCAGTTGAAATGTTGATGTTTTCTGTAACAAAATCATACTTTTTTTCATCCGAATAAAGATATCACCTAAAACATATCCTGTAGCTTTCATGCTTACATGACTGAATGATCTATGGTTAAACAATAATGGTACCCTGAAAATATATAAATAGCGACTTACTCAAGCATTTTTTCCTATTGAAACAGAATTTAATTTGAACAAAACGTATATTATTGTGATGTGTTATTATCTAAATGATAACGGAAAATTTAGAGGAGGTAACCTTGTAGTATTTTTTCTCAGATGTAAACAGTTGCTGAAAGTCGAAAAAAAAGATTTATTGTATATATTTTATCCTCTTGTATTACGCAAAATAGCAAACAAACTAGCGATTCTGTAGCATTTTACGAACCATGCGTTAATCATGGAAATTATGTTTGTTTTATTTTACATAGTACATGTATATGAAACGTATGTGTGTGTGTGTGTTTTGATAATTTGCGTACTGGAGTCGCAAACATTTGAATTTTTTTTCCAACAAAGACATATATCAAGAATTTTATTCTAAATTGCTAAGGACTTAGAATATTTATGAGTAGATACATAACAGAATTTGGACCTGAAATAATTAAAACAAATATTTTAGACGATTTACCTACAACAAAGTTACGTTTTTCTAATAATATTGATTAAGGATTGAACATCTTTCACACGAACATAAGGAGCATTCATAGAAATATGAATGAACTCCATGCCTTGTTGGATATACTAGATTTTAAATTTGATGTTATAGTGCTAACTGAAACATTTAAAGTATATGATACAAGTTTGATCGAAATTCCCAATTATGATTTATATTATAATGATGGTAGTTTTAATAAAAACGGGGTTAATAATAGTAATAAAGTACAAGGCAAAAAACAAAACAACAAAATTAGTACAATTAAAAAAGAAAATGGTGAACTAGTGAGTAATGATGTAGATATAGCAAATGAATTCTCTGAATATTTTTCAAAAATCGGGAAAAGGTTGTCAGAAAGCATAAAAAACGCGGAGAAATTAAATTATAGTAATACCAGATTATATAACTCATTATATCTGGAACCGACCGATACGCATGAAATAAAGACAATAATCAATGAATTGAAATTAAGAAAATCTCCAGGTCTAGATAATATAACAGCGTATACTCTCAAGAGAATAAATTGCAATATCTGCGGCATACTATCATATTTGATAAATTCTTGTATAAATAAAGGAATATTCACTTCATGTTTAAAACACGCTATGGTAAAACCATTATTTAAATCTGGAGAAAGAGAAAAACCCATCAACTATCGACCAATTTCCATCTTAACAAAATATTTGAAAAAGTGTTAAAAAAACGATTCACCGAATTTGCAAAAAAATATAACTTAATAGCGGAACAGCAATATGGTTTTCAAGAAGGCAAATCTGCTCAAGATGCTATTGTAAAATTAACAAATAAAATATACACGAATCTCGATATTGGCAAACCAACTGCTTGTGTTTTTGTTCACTTGGCAAAGGCATTCGACTCTATTACTCATGAATCGCTTTTAACAACTTTAGAAAACTTGGGTTTCCGGGGAATAACATACAAACTTATAGAAAATTATTTGTCAAATCGAACACAGTGCGTCAAAATTAATAACACATTCACTGAACCCCATATTATATCATACGGTGTACCTCAAGGCGCAGTATTAGGACCCATTTTATTTAATCTATTTATCAACGATTTGTTCAAAATAAGTAGTACAGGTAAAGTTATCGGTTTTGCGGATGATACAGCTATTCTCTATGAAAGCAACCAATGGCATACACTAAAAACCACTATCGAACATGATTTCAAAACATTTATAAATTTCTTTTCGGAAAGAACTTTGACAATTAATTACAACAAAACACACTATATAGCATTTTCTTGTAACGACAGGCTCTCACCACAATTTAAAAAACTTGAAGTTCATACAAGCAGTGGTCTCAAAGAGATTCAGTCAGCCGATAAAATAAAATACTTAGGCGTGATTTTGGACAAACACTTAAAATGGGATACCCATACAGAGTACCTTGTGAAGAGACTGAGATCTATTACTTTACGGAATTTTGGCTTGGGGGGAGTTATGAATAATAATTACAAAAAGGTCGAGGTAATCCAAAAATTAATTCTAAAATTGATCCTCCATAGGGAGATTACTTATTCAAGTGATTTTCTATATGTGGAGGCTCAGCTATTAGATTGCAGACAAATTTATTTTTATTGTGGTCTAATACATTATTTCAAATATTCAAAATACTTTAATCGTACCATTCATAACTACCCAACAAGATTCAATCAAAATTCAATGTGTATTCCACAAACATCAAAAACCATTACACAACGATCTCTGTTTTTCTTGAGACCAAAATTCTATAACTTCATACCAGAGTCATTAAAAGTAATTAAATCAAATAAATCATTTAAAAAACAACTAAAAAAATTGATTTTACAACAACCAAGGTACTCCATCCACGAGATTGTAGATCTGAAAAATCATTATCAAAATCAATAATATTTTACTTACACTAACATCCATACTTTTACTTTAGTTCTAATTGTCTGGATATTTTTCCTGACATTACCATAATAATTCACCAAATTATACAGTATTAATGTTTTTTTTTCATACACTGACTGTACTATTAGTTTTTATTTTGTACAAACCCAAACACAAGTGCACAACTTTTTTTGAGTGCTTTATGTTTATTGTGCACAATATTTGATATTTACTTGTATTTTGTGACAATAAATATTATTATTATTAAAAAAAAAAAACTGGACGAGTGCTTTGGTCGGTTCCAAGAGACTATAGTTATTCTGAGCTATTACATATATTTGATTATTTACTAGTCTTTGGAAAAGCGTAGATATCAATTATCTGTACTTTTCTTGCATAAGCTTTTGAATGGAACAGAGATTGACAGATTGACCTGTATTGTTAGATCAGCTAGATATTCTGGTTGCTAAAATAACATCTAGACAATTTAATGCTTTCTTGGGCAAAAGAGTACAAACTAATTTGCTATTGAAGGCTCCGATTCATTTCATGTGCTGAAATGCCAATAAAATTTCAAGGGTTTCTGATATTTTTCACTGCAGTGTCTGTCGATTAAAGAATAAATCTCGAAATTCCGAAATTTATGTCCTGAGCCATTGATGCTAAGTTGCATGGATTTATCATCAATTTAACATTTTTATTACATGAATAAGTATCTACACTGATATTTTAAAAGAAAAAACTAGATAATATATTGACACAAGAAAATACGATTAATTTATTAGTCTAAAAGTCATTCCCTCATCTTGTCCCTGGGTCCGAAATTAATATTGAAAAATATCTACAATCAAATCTGTTCATAATCTTATAAATTCAATATTCCTAAAATATTTGGTAATAAATATGGATTGTATAGTCAAGCTTCCATTGCTTAAAAATAAATATGTCTCTAATAATCTATTTAAACATTATGTCCCTTGAAATGAAATCATTCCCTCACCCATTATAAATATTTGATTTGTGGTCACAACATTTGATATTTTTGTACGCAGCTGTTATGTCTTTAAAACTTGAAAATACTGCTAATAATGTCAACGTGACGTAATTACGTAATTTGCAAAAAAAAATATTGGAATTCAATAATTAGGACATTACATTTCTCTGTCATTACCTCACTGTTTATATTATAAGGTAAGTCATTATAGTATTCAAATGTTTTAATGTTTTTTTTCTGTTTTTGTGGAGTAAAATCCATTCACAAAATGCTAAATCAATTTGAGGTCATGTACTGTTGGTTAGGGTGTCGTTTATTGAAATCCGTCATTCCCTCAAGGTCATTCCCTCACTATATTAGAAAGTGATGAGGGAATGACAATTTTTTGAGGGGATGATTTTTGCAAATATTAAATTGTGGTTTGGGTGTTATTGTTTAACTCCAGGTTGTATAGCATGTGTTTTCGATTTTAACAGATATCCGTATATCAAGAATAGGGACAATGAAAAAGTAAAGTGAAGAAGAAAAGAAATTAAAAAAGAAAGAGTACGACAGAAAGAGGCGAGAACAAATGAAAAGTAATGCTGTGTCTTTAGAAGCTTTGCGTGAAAAAGAAAGATTAAAGTATTTAAAGAAGTGAAGGTCAGTTAAGTCAATAAGTTCTATGAGTGCAAGAGAAGCTAGCCAGCTAGCCAAAAACAACAATGGAAAAAAGAATAGTAAAGTTTATACGGAAAAGCAAGTTTTATTACAAACAAATTTATATATATCAAAAGGTACTTAAAATCGTCTGTCGCGTATGAAGCTTTAGTACACACGAAAGGCAAAGGAGCTTCCGGATCGTTCAAGCTTGCTGCGTCGTCGGCTGGCGGAGCGTCGAAAACTTCATCATCATCAGCCGCAAAGGTTGGCGAAAAGAAGAAGAAATCCGCGACTGGCTCAAAGAAGAGCGGAACCATAGCTAAGAGGGCTAGCGGTGCAAAATCGGCGATGAAGGCATGTCCGAAGGCTAAGAATCCGGCGGTGGCCGGTGCGGCCGAGAAGAAAGCTTCTCCAGCTAAGACAAAGAAAAGTAGGAAATCGGTGACGTCAGCTAAAGCTTCTTCTGTGGCACCTTCTGCAGCGCCTGCAAAAAAATCTCCTTCGAAGGCGAAGAAATCCCGCAAGGGAGCTCCGACCAAGAAGCCAAAAGCTCCAAAGCCGAAAACAGCGCCGAAAGGGAACGCCGCTTCTCCCAAAAAGAAGAAATAAAAAAAATAATGTAGACGTGTTGCAACGTCGTAGATTTCGACTACGTCAGTTCGCGACGTTATATTTATGCGAGAGGATGCGATACGTCCCTCGCGGATTGGTCTCAGGCAGGTTCCTCAATTTTATGTCATACCATAAACTAAGGATTAAAATCAACTTGGTGAAACAGATGAAAACAAGGGTAATCAGCATCTCAGATAATACTTTCCCTACTTCAAATTTACGGAAGCTATCAAACCTGTTAATCAACAATAGTTATCCGGAGTGTTTGATTAACAAGATCTTGTTCAGCTCTTTAGCAAATTCTAATAATCCAAGTAATAGTCTCAGAAATCCTAATAACAGAAC